GATAGTCTTTTCCATCAATCACGCATGACCTACAGTATACTCTCCACCTTACACCTTCTTGTGTTTTCAGATCGTCACTTTCATGAGGAAGTGATGATGACTAAACAACTTTTACGTTTTTATTTTTTTTCAATTTCTTGCTCGAACCTTATCACCCTCATAAACGTTTAAAAAAACCGACTTCTCATAAGCCGTCTACTTGCTAATCAGAACTTTGAATTATTGAATCCTCAAAGTTGACTTATTACCATCTATTCCGTTTTCGATCATATCCTCTGAATTTTCGAGCCGACTATTGATTAGAGATATTGGTGGAAACAGGGAATTGAAGTTCTCATGAAGCCTTTGCGACTAGTGTGAAGATGCATCGATTATTCCTCATCGAAAAAAAATTATTTGTGAATGTAGAAAATGAAAATTGAAAAATCAATGGTAAATTGAATTCCTTACTCTATTCCAAGTCATTTGTGTCTGGCTCACATCTGATCGATTGTTTGTCATTAATAAATGGTTTCGTATCCCCTCTTCGGTTAGATGTCGTCGTCGTCGTAGGAAAGATCGTCTTCTGGGTGACCAGATGATGTGTGAAATACTCTATTCTCCCATATACGGTATCTCATTTGAATACACAAACTATTAGTTATAATTACCGTATAATTTCGTTCTGTCCATTCTCAGGGATCAAATACTTTGAGCTAACCCTTTACTACTCCGTTTTCTTGTCTATGTGTCTACCTTACATCGATGCCCTGAAATTCGTCAAGATCTGTGTTTCATCCAAAGCTATCCTTACATGTATGTAGTATTCTTAATCCTTCGAATTAACATTCAATTCTCGATGAATTCTTCCTCAGTTCACAAAAAAAAAGTTTCGATACATCGAAAGCTTCTTAGGGCGGAGCTGAACACACAGCTGGCGACCGACAAAGCTGAATCGACAGGCACAAGCAGCATTAGCAATAGTTGTTCCATTGTATAATCTTCTATTTTTGTTATGTTAAATAATCTTTAAAAGAAACGAACTTCGAACGAATAGTTGTATCCTATAAACTCCTGTTCTCTTTCTCGTATTTAGAACACCTTGCCGTCTTCTGTCTGAAATCATTTTTACTATAAAACTGAGATTATAGTGTGTTCATTATTATTTTTTTTATTTTTTTTCTATCAAAAAGCTCATTTTTCAATCACTTTTTGTCTTTTTTCTCAATCCTTTCATTCTGTTTCCTATAATTCTGTGCTTAAGTCCTTTACCAAACGTATTGATGTGTTTGAAGCTACCGTAACCCACACACGAATACTAGGAGTCATTCTATCGTCTAATCGTTTTCCTTTACGATTAATCAACAATTCCTCTAAATAAACGAATTTTCTCTATAATTATACATATAGTTAACGTTAATTATTCTTTATAAAAACAATCTCGTGTTTTATAAAGTTGCTTGTATGTAATGTATTTGCGTGAAAGGCTCCCATTGACTAGCGTCCACCTTCCGTCTTCCAGCCATTTCATAGAAAATCAACCAATATATTATATTTTTGTTTAAAGTTATTTGGATAAACGACTTCATGTGGTTTATCTTAAAAAATGATGAAAACAAATCGTTTTGTCAATAATTAAGTGTCAAAATTTGCAATCTACGATCTAATAAAAACAATTTATGTTGGCCGTTTATCTGTCAAGATAAGACATCTCACCAAAAACTATTTGTAATCCATTCTATAATAGATTATATGAGATAACTTACTTCCTTAAGTAGTTTGCACTGTAGCTATACCTTCTCATACAGAGATTATAAAGAACAACACAAAAAAAAAAATATTCTCTTTAATATACCCTCAATTCATTTTATAAATTCAAAATGTTTTGGCGCGTGTTCCACATACCTTCAAACTTTCTTATTTTTTTTCTTTTTTAGTCTTTCTCAAATCATTCTGTTTCATTTTGCAAACGTCATTTTGGATTTGGTAAGCAACAGAAAAAAAAAATATTTTCGTTCCTTATCTTGGAAGAATATATTTTTGTAAATAGCAACCTTTCATGTTATACAGCCATTAGTATCTTTTTTGCTAATTTTTGATTCAGAAATTGTCGTCTTCCCATTCAGCTATCATCCATCTTCAATATTCGGCTTGTTTAGTTATAAGCTGTTATATAATCACTTATATTTTATATTCTAATCGTTGATTTTTCAATAAAAACCCCCCTGAACTCATATTTCCGTGATGCTTCTGCTATTACCGTAATCCAAAGAAACCCGTTGTGTCTTCACGTCAAGCTGTATAGAGAGAGAGAGAGAGAGCGCAAAAGAAAGAAAGAGAGAATGCAGCAGAGCAAAGAAGACGAAAGAGAGAGATAGAGAGAGAAAGGTAAGGACTGATATAAACTGTTTCTTTTCTTTGATTCATCATTCACTTTAATTCTGGTTTTATAATCACATTTTTTTTTGCTAAAATTAACGTTTTTTTCAATTTTTCATCTGAATTTGGGAGAAATTCATTTGCAAGAAGTGTCTCATCTTCTGAATGTTAAAGAATGAAAACAAGAAAAAGAAAGATAATAAATTACTTCGAAGTTTCATTTAATTCTTTTTCACATCCTCTCTCTCTCTCTCTTGCAAATCATAAGTTCTACTTTGGAAAATATGAAAAAAAAAAATTAAAAGAGAGAATCAAAGAGAGATATCTCAAATACAACCGTTTCAGACTGTTTGTTCTTCTTAAAATGATCTTTCAGTCTGAACCATTCAGTTTTACGTGGCTTTTCACGTGATTTCCACGTTTACGTGAAAAATAATTATCAGAAATGATTGATCCGAAGTACTTTCTACGGAATTGACGATTACGGTATAATGTGTCGGAAACTTTAACCAGGTTACCGTAATCGAAAAAAAAGAAAAATCATTTGAACTGTTAAGCTGTTACTTTGAACAATGGAACAGCGCTGTTTCATTGCTTTTCTTTTGTGTTCCATGAGCACTTGCTCGATTTATTTCAAAAAGTTGTTCAAATTGATTATTTCAATGAATTTCGAATAAGGTGTTATGCGGAAGAAAAAGAGAGAATATTGAGTTCGAGTTGAGCGTTCATTCAGGCTCAATTTTTCTTTGCCCGAAGAATCTCGTGCTCATTCTAACAACTGAAAGTGTGTATGTGTGTGTATGTGGTGGACGACGTGAAGTGTATGTCTTGTGATTGATGATGAACTCCCTCGCAGCCGATGGCTTCTCTCTTTCTTCTCTCACTCACTCGCTTTTTATTTCTTGGTTCCACAAAAAGGATATAAGATAAGGCAGGAGTATATATGAGAAATATGTTGAAGATTTAAGAGAGGAAGAGCCCAAGGCGAGATGGTCTCTCCACTCCAAATGGATCGGCTGGCCGACGCAGTGAGTCTTTCATCTGGACCGCCAAAGACGCCGCAAGAGTGCCAGATAAACTTGTAATCCTCACTGCCTCAGCTCTTATCTTCAACTTTGATGGTCCAGACACGAAACAGATTGCTCTTATGTAACACAACATAAACAGTCCATTCACACAATTTTTATGACCTGAAATTTGTCATGAAGACATCTTAAAGCTGTCAGTAGGTAGCTTAACCGTAACTATCAGCTTGAAACATGATTTTTAATTATGTCAAAGGTGAATACTATTTGTCAATGATTTTGCTTTCTCTTTTCATTTAATCTTGTGTATTGTTTCCTCTTCAATTCTATTTTTCTTTTTCATTTCTTCTGTCATTTGCTATTTCTTCTAGATAATGATCAACAGCCATAAATCTTTTTGACTCTCGAACGTTGTCAAAAACCAAAATAGAATAACTATGTGGGCTTAATTAACATCATCATACTATTTTTTTTATTAATTTACATTTTGTAAGTTGGTAGGCTTATTTGCAATTTCTCAACCTGATAATCCGCTTCTCCAGCTTCATCTTGTCGCATTTTCAATTGCCAACTGTCTGATTGTCATTGGAACATTTATCACTTTCTTACTATAAATCCGCACATTATTCATAAAAAAGGAATTCTTCTTGCTCTCAACTATATGAAAGAGAAGTAATAGAAAGTGCATTATGTAATTCCTTTTAAGCCTATCATCTCATATCCTCTGAATCAATAAAATCATTTTGCAATCTTGTCCTGACGTAATTTATGATTTATCTATTCTCAACCAATTTTTATGATGAGTGGACCTTGCGTCTTCTGTTTTTTAATTCCAAAATTGCCATTCTCATTTCAACGGCCACAACTTACCACCCTATCTCATCTCTCATATGCACTCCGCCCATTTCTTCAGCCAACAGCCAATCATCGATGAGTGGGCGGAGCCAGGGTTTGCCGGGTCGTGCAGGCGCAACGGGGTACCATGCGTAACCCTTCAGGGGGCTGCGAATCTGTATTCTGAGCTGGTCGAAGATTTGTGTGAGTGAGTGAATAAGTGTATGTTCGGCAGAAACCAAAAAAAACAGTTAATCTGGTTGTCGCTATCATTCAAGTAAAATAGTTTTTGTTCAAAAAGCTTCTCTCTCTCCAATAGTTGAGCCGGAAAACTCGGAAAGACAAACAGCTTTTGTTGTGATTGGAAAGCAGGTGATGATAATGTGATGTCAGACTCAATTTATTTTTTTTAATGTTCATTCTCATCATTTAAATGGTCTCATAGCGATCTCGTTTTAATTTAGTTTTATTCTCTTCTTGTGCTATTAATTGTGTCTTGATTCATATTAAGTTTTTTCTGCCAGTTCTCACCTAATTCTGTTGCGTAACCTTTTGATTCCATAGAGTTCAAGTTTAAGCTTTTCCATTTTTCGCTGTCTTATAATGATATGTGATAGACATTCTGAATTGCTTCATTTCATTCCTCCTCATCCTCATCATCCTGCGCATACTTGAACCCATTCTTTAAGTTTTTCAGATAAAACTTCATCATACCATCTAACTATCTATCTAGTATAGTTTCTCATTACTTTTCACCATCTACGCACATTATCCGTCAAAATTATGACGTCATCCGATTTCGGATCTTCAGCTTCAGCAGCAGCCGCCGCTGCTTCAGTCATGCAAGCCGGTCCTCCACCTGGATTTTATTACGATACCTCAGCAGTTCAACAACCATCTACAGCATACTTTCCATCATCCACATTATCAGGAGCGCAATTCTCTTCTCAGGTAATTGTTTCACTTTCAATTCTTTGATGTAATTACAAATTTTTGAAAATGCTTTTCGTCAACAAGTACTTTGACCCGTCCACAACTCTCTTCCTTTTCTCATCTTTTTCTCTTTTTTTTTGTGTTTCATCTTTATAAATTGATATGCTTCTCTCGCTCTCTCTCTCTCTCTCTACCTCTTTATAGTTTCTCATTTTAAGCATCTGAAGTCATATTTCCTGATTACTTTGGTTATTCAATCGATTTTTCCTCCTCTATGTGTAGCATATGCTTTCTCTCTTCAATCGAATTTTTTGTTTCTGAAAGAAAAAAAATTTCGAATGTGGGGTCATTTTGACAAATTTTGTTTGATTTTCACTTCATTCTAAGCTTTTCCATCTTTTAAACGTTCATTTTGCCCTTTTGCTCATCTCCTTTCTCTGCTCTCGTTGCCTCAACGGCTACCGTAGTCGCGGCGAAGGAGAGAAGGAGGAAAGAAAAAACGAAAAGTTGTCGGTGAAAAGACGAAAATTGGCGCTTAGAAATCAAGTTTTATTGAATTATTTGATTAAATATATAGATTTAACCATATGATATAGTTAATATTATTATTTTAAGTCGTTATGTTATCAAAATTCTGAATGGAAAGATGATAAAGATGAAAAGAAAGAAGGTGATGAGGATAAGACGAGTTCAAATGGAAGTGCTGTAGCTGCAGCTGTCTATCCATGGATGACGCGGGTTCATTCAACTTCAGGAGAAGGTATGTTAACTTGTTTCTATCTATTTGTTCATTTCTTATTCTTGTTTGTTTCTTCTTGCCTCCTCTTCCCTTCCCTTCCCTTCCCTTCTCATCCTCCTTTCTGCTCTTGTATGAAACGATTGAGGTGATTATTATTAGACAATTTTGAAGATAATTTCTTTCGTGAGTAAAAGTTTGGAAAAGCAAAAAAAAAAGATAAAAGGATAGCATGCCGACGTCGAGAATGGCTCTTTGCTTCATTTATCACAGCATCGCCCTAGGGTCTGAGAAGACAAGACGGATTATCTCATCAGTCCAACTGATCCTCGTCTGCTTCAATTGTAATTATAGTTTGAAAAGCAGAACGACCCAACATATCCATCGGACCTACCCTATCGAATGTCCACAATGGTGAACAAGAACCTCTTTCGCTTATCAATATTTTTTATTATGTTATTTTAAAAAAAATAAGAAAAATAATTTTATATGGCATAAAGTTTAAAAGGCCATAAAGGGTTGTCTATTACCGTAATCTCTTTTACATCTCGTAAGATTGCTATCATCAAAAGGTGTTTAATAGAGTGAATGTGAAGATGGTGGAGCAAAACAGAGAATGAACTTGAGAGGGTTAACGTATGCGTTTAAGGCAAGCAAATCGGGCTTCGCATACGTTTGATGATGTGAAGACATCTATCATTCTATAATTGACAATTCATATCTATCCAAATCATAATATAGATAGATAGTTCTGATAATTGTATTCAGCTTCACAGTAATCATCTATCTTGTAAACAGCTTACACATAAACAACAACATCACCACACACATCCTTTCATTGCGTGTTAAGCATTCATCCTAACACGATTCTTAACTTGTAAACCAATCTGTCACCATCTGAATCGTCCCTTAATCGCATTCATTTCATCCTATTTGCTTTCAAACATATTTTAGTTTTTCATTACAAAAACACATTTTTTATCTATCATTTCAATAGCTGCTTTCATCTTCAAACTAATTATGTTTCAATTCGATAATTATCTTGTCAGTTCGTCTGCCATATCCGGACTGTGTCTTTGCACAGCCGCTTCCGTCTTGAATGCCATCCTTCTTAGCGCTTTCGCCTCCTTCTGTACACACGACTACCATCAGAAGGATGCCAACCAACCAAAAAAAAAAGATTTTTAATGATCCATCTTATATTCTGAGTTGAAGCATAAAAAAAGGCGAATTGTTTTTTTTCTTGAATGTCCGTTAACCTCAAAACGATCTATTAGCCTGTAATGACGGACAAGGTCTTTTCCAAATGTAACAATCGTTGATGGTTAAGAATTGGCGATTAAAAGCAGACGTAGAAGACCGCAGTAGAATGAGAGGAGATGGAGGGCAAGAAAAAAAGTTTTTTTTTTGTCTCCTCTCCGATCTCGTCTAGAAACCGTAATTAATGATAATAATTCAATTGGAGATACTATTTGTATCTGTCAATTGAATGAATTAAGCTTTGACTACTCAATCATTTAGTTATCACCGGCACACTTTGCATTTGAATGTTGATGAAGAAGAGAGTTGCCGTTGTACAGTTGTAAAACAGACAATTCAATCATTCGCCTGTCCATTGAGTCTTTTGTTCTTTTACCTTCTTAACCAACTTTAATCTTCTTTCAAAGTTTCTCGCCTTTCATCTTCTGACTGTTTGCTCATCTCACCACAACACACTTTTTCTGTAATCCATCAAAAAATGTTATCCGTTTTAAGCTCAAAACATGTCCAAGCCGAAAGCATTCTGGATATGCTGCTTAGATGTAAAACAGCTGATTGACGTGATTATTCAAATGAACACAATTTGATTTTAGGTTACTTACTTATAATTTCCTATCTCTCTCTATATCTTTCTCGCTATCTGGTTCTTCCTACTTCCCCTTCGCTCACTCACTCTCTCTCTCTTGCTCTCTCTCTATCATCTCCATATTCTTAAGAAAGTATATTTGAATAACTCTAGAAGAAGAAGATATATTCCTCAACTTATTGTAAAACATGAAATATTGTTAAATAATCCTGATACAGCTTAATCCAAGACTTCTGTCTCGGATGAAATATTACGTGAAAAAGGAGCAGTCAGTAGGCCAGCTGCCAACTTGTCATCTTTCTGTCAGTTGTTCCTCTAAAATATGTCTACCATACATGCCCTTATACGTAAATTGATAATATTTTAAATATGAACAATTTGTTGGAAAAGAAAAGACAAAAAAATGTCTCAAGTCACCTCATATTTCATTTTTCGTTCGTATCGCTCGACATCCATACTGTCAGGATACACTGCAGCCACAACAAACAGCGGAAGGATCCTATGCTGGATGTATGAAACCATAGAGATAGAATGAGAGGGTGAAATCATAATAAGCTTCTTCATTTACAAAAGTCATTTTCATTGCTTCTTCGTTGAACATTTTCCATTCACCATCTTCTCTCTCTCTCTCTCTCTAGATGTTCAACTTCTTTCCAGCTTTTTGTATGCCGAAGAATGTCATTTTCATGAAAATGACAAGGACCATGACATCCATCGATCATCATGGTCATCTGTTTTTCTGAATCTCAAGCCTTTTCCTCATACTTCTAACTCAAATATTCAAATTCAACTAATTTTCGAGTCAAAATGAAGAGTTACGTTAGAAGTTCGGCTGTCTCAATCTTCGTCTGCTTCTTACTTCAATCCTTTTTTATATTTAAACCAAACAATTCATTTCAATCAAACTATACAAAAAGACATTTCAACCACCTTCAGCACGAGAAGAACAACATGTCAGATTTGACCATCTGCGTGTTTTTTTCCATTTGAACGGTAAAGATTCGGGAACATGGATGTTCTTCTTGTTGTTTTTTTGTTTTTTCAACTGAAACTACATCTATCACTTGGATGAATCCAAATTTATTTGAGCTTGTCAGATTTGTTTGACCTTAATGAGAAGATTGATCGATCCATACAAGTTTACCTCACAGAACAACTGTATCTTTACGAGTAGTTAAGAGATGTCAATGTTTGAGGTTAACTCAATGCTCTTCTCTCTTTCTCTCGCTCTGTTTTGATCTCTTTCTTACTCTATCATTCAAGACGGAAAGAAGAAGAGAGGGATTAGAAGAAACAGAATCATCGACCACCTACAACTTCAAATGATTTCCAAATATGGTAATTAATGAAACAGCTTGACAGCTGATCTAAGATTTCGTGTGTGTGTGTGTGTTTCCCACGAATTTCATTTACCGTCAAACGACCAAATGGATCATTGCTTATTCATGAAAATATCAAAACATTTTCTCAAAATAGATCTTTTCTTTCAAAATTCAAAGCTTCTGCTTGTATATGAGCCATGTTCTTATCGTAGCAATTCATTCAGTGCCTCAAATCATAAATGAAAGAAACAAAAAAAAATATTTATTTGAGATTGTGTCTGATAGTCTCTATGTGCAAAATGCATTTGCCAGATTCGGAATAACACGGACAAAGCCATAAATCGGTCAGCAGCCAGGGACTTTTCCGTTTTGGGGGCAATAAATATTAGAATATGACGAGTTAGATAGACGACTGGATAAATCTGAAAAAGAATCAATCGAGGTTCTCTTCTTATCTCTCTCATTTCATCCCTCTCTCTCTGTATCTCTCTCTTTTCCAACAATTTTCTCTGTCAAAGGTTCATCATCTTCATCTATGGCAAACAGACTGAAAAATGAGATTTACGGTTTCTCCAAATCATATCTTCGCCAATGCAAAAACTGATAGTAAATCCCAAATTTGATTGACATCAGCAACCATAAAGGCATCGGATGAATTGAACAAATGCTCATCCACATATTATAATTTTTCGGGTTTTTTTTCTATTTTCCATATTCGATTGACTAGATGAGGGCTTGAGAACAATGCTGATTTTAATATATTGTGTTATTGCAGGCGGATCACGAGGTGAAAAACGACAGCGAACGGCTTACACACGAAATCAAGTCTTAGAATTAGAAAAAGTATGTTTGTCGCCAATCTTCCTTCGCACATCTCTAACTAATATATTATTGTAGGAATTTCATTTTAATAAATATTTGACAAGAAAACGACGAATTGAAATCGCTCATTCACTTATGCTCACAGAAAGACAGGTATACTCATCATCCTAGGCATGATCACTTACTTCATTCTCTCTTTGCAGGTCAAAATATGGTTCCAGAACCGACGGATGAAACATAAAAAGGAAAATAAGGTAATCATATTTCTATATACTTACACTGATCATAGCTTTCTTCCTTCTTAACCTTTCTCTTGAACTTCATTCTCATTCCAATGTTCATACGTTCATTTCTCATTCATTCTCTCTCCCCCTCTCTCTCTGACACTCATTTTTCTTTTGATTGTCCTTAAGAACGAAAAAAAACCTTCTCAATGTTCGTAACTATGCCTATATTTCTTTGATCTCTATAAATCATAATAATTTTGTATAAAATTCAATTTGTTAAATGTCTCAATTATCCTTCACATCCTTCAGATGACTTGCTGAAGATAAATGTCTGCGACCATATGTTTCAGCTCTTTTTGTCATTTCCTTAGTAATTTATAAAAACGAACACACCATAAATACATACATAACACATGTGTGTTTCTTTCAAGAGATTTCTTTTCTCTCTTCAGTCTCTCACTCTCTCTCTCTTATACCTTAACCTATTCTCTCTCTCTATCCCTCTCTCCCTCTCTCTTCTACTTCTTTCCGTTTCTCTCTTTCTTAGTTTTTGACTGCCAAAGCCATTTTTTATCCAAAAAAAAAGAAATAAGGCAACGTTACGAACACCTCTTACATATGATTTCATTGAGAAGGGATTCATTGGGAATGTTTCATTCGGAAAGCATCCGGAAGCAATCCCTTCGCTATTCATCCGTCTGTTGCAGACTTTTGAAGAGTTGAAAGGTTTCACTTCATTTTTTGATTCAAATGATGTATAAGGTCAAAACATTAGATATCTGTCATATTTATAACAAATTATCCAATAACACGAGAATTTATTCGAAAAAATCAAATTTTTCAAATTTCAGGATAAGCCACTGACACCGCAGATGATGCCTTTCCCTACTGGTCCATTGCCATTTGCTCATCTTGGATTTACAAGGAACTTCTTATTATCAAATCAATTTTAAAAAACAACATAATAATATGTAAATTCTTTATTTACATTAGAACTTATGCTGCATAATCGACTGTAAAACACTAAAATGGTTTTTAGCTCAATTTTATCATGAGCTAATCTACCGTAATCCGTGATGCTATCACTTGAAAGCTTAGAGCCAGCTTATTACAACCAACTAGTTTTTCTTCTTTAATATTTCTTGTTCTAGCCTCCCGTAATCAACGAACTTCATCTTCTTCTTTTTTCTTCTCCCCACCACCTCCTATCTCAACAATTGAGAAAGACAGAGAGACACAGAGAGAGAGAGAGATTTTTCTTTCTTGAAAGTTACAAAGTTTCCCTCTCAACCTCATATATTACCCTCACGTATCCCATCTTTACATTTCTGTTTCTCTCTCCCCCTCTCCCTCTCTCTCTCTCTTTCTTTCTCATTTTTCATTTTCTATTTTCGCTCTCCCTCTCTATGGTTCATTCCAAAAAAACTTATTCTGCTTTGAATCAAGCTTTAACCCCAAGACCCCAAATTTAAACATTTTTTTTACAAAATTACAAATATAGAAAATAATTGAATTGTTTGTTTGTTATGTTTTCTCTCTTCTCTCCTACCATGCAAGGTATTCATTACAAGGTTTTCTAATTTCCCAAACAAGGTAAAAATGTCCATTAAACAAGGTACCCCTTCTCCCCCGTCAAACCGACTATACAGAGTATTGCTTTTTGTCCAAGACAGAGTATTTTTTGTTTGTTTTTCATTCTGATTTTTATCAAAAACTATCTTAGAATTTAAAATTTGCATACATGGTTGTTGTCATCTCTCTTTAACTATTCGCATAGTCAAAGATATACTTTCATTCTTCTATAGTTATCTAATGATTATGATAATTATAAAAGCTGGTAACTTGCCACAACATCAAAAGCTTGAAGCTTTCCCTCCTTCCCCTCTCCTCATCTCCTTCTATAGTCCATTTCTATCAATGCACCTCTTACTTAATTCGTCTCAGCTTTTCCTCAGCTTTCTCTTGCCGGTGAATGACATCTCTTTTTGATCAAAATTTTTCTAATCAAAATGTGGATGTTTATTCTGAAGACAATCTTCTACATCTTCTTCTTCCATCCCATACTATCAGCCAACTTCTTACTCTTCCTCATCCTTCTTCCTTGCCCAACCCTCCTATAACTTCCCAATCGTTTTACTCTCCTTCCTTCTTTATTTTCTTATTTGAAGACATATTTCAAGTTCTGAATGTGATTGTATACACTCATCTCCCCTTCTTCTGTCTTCGTTTATCTATTGTACCAGTCAGTTTTTTCTAATGCAAAATTTATTATTAAAAATTATTCTATAACCATGTATTTGATTATGAATTGAAAAAATAAGAAACGAACAAGAGATCACTAGAGATCACAAAAGACATTTCAAGTATTCAGAATACTGGATGAGTCCAAAAGATTATTGAAACATGAACTTGATAGTTGCAAAGAAAAAACACATTAAATATACGAATGATGAAGATGATGGCACACAACGAAGAATGAGCTTCCAACAAACCCAAGATGAAGCACGAAGGCCGTAATGTGATAAGATGGGCAGTACGAAGAGGATGCAACATTGCCTTCATCTTCTGATAATGAATGATTCAACTAATTATCCTACATATATTAATTATTTGGCTTTATTAATTGTTTCTTTCATCTGCCGCTAATCTATACGGTAATGATCAAACAGCCAATGACAATGCGTACGGGGCGGAGTCAAGCGAAACGATTAAACGTCTGTTGGTGTGTGAACATTCTGTCTCCTCTTGTTAAACCGCAATCTATCGGTTTTACCTTAATTTGTCAGGTTATTTGATATGTTCCGATTCTTGTGATAAATGCCGACAGCTATTTATAAACCTCAGGTGTATTATCAGTGTCAGACGAGACAAATTTCATCCTTATACACCTTCTTAACATGTTGTAATATAATAAATGTGTATACTGTAAGAGACTTCTAAGCATTTTAAAATTTATTTAAACTCTATCTTAATGTACTCTTGAGTTAATTAATGATAATAAATATAAATTCTTAGCTTTAGTTTATGCTTAACTCAAAAGAGCACTCAGCTTCAATCCACATGCAGATTACGGTAGTACCCGTCATAAAGCTATTTGTGCTTGCTAGCAAATGATTTCAGCGTCTGCACTTCAATCGTAAGCCATGTTTGTTTGAAGCTAATTAAAACGATTTATGCTTAGCTATAACAGTTTAACACTTCAACACTTTGTTCATCTTTTTTATTTCATTAAGTCAGCCGTCTTCTTCACATGTTGACAAAGCTTTATTCTGAGAATATTGATGGCGCGTGCCATTAAACCTGTCAACGAGTATCATTCGTTATTTTTATCATCCAAATACTATCACCATCAATTCCTTTAAGCTTCTGATACAACTGATCGTATTTTCTGACAGCTGAACAAACGTACCATATGCTGATTTATTTGCAACATTTGTCTACACGAAACAATTTATGAGCACAAATCTGAAACCTCAGAGATGCTGCTCTTCTGCATCCACCTATGCTCTATCTATATCATCTCTTATATATTTTAATATATATTAATCTATATAAATTACTTTCTATAATATATAACCTGACTATATGTTACTACTTTCCAGTCTCCACCTACTTGTAATTTATATGTATTCCTAGGTATTCACTTTATACTATTACTCATTGACTTTCTACCTGTCATCATGTGAGCGACAAGCAGAGTGGTAAGCCTGTCATCAAATGAAAAAGCAACATTATTCAATCGCATACAGGGGGAGAGAGATATTACTTTTAAATCAACACAAAATGCTCGCTTCAATTATTAGATGAAGCATAGATGAAGCTTCGTATACTATTAAATTTTTATTAAGTGTACGGTAGTCTGTGATGGCTATTCTGTTCGTAGGGTTTCAAAAACGAGAGGAGAAGAAGAAAAAAAAGGAAATATGAAACGTTTACCATAAGCAGAAACTGGTGTGGAAGGAAACAAATATCCTCTGGAGACAGACGGATTTACTTCAGTACATGGTGGTGTTGTTCCTCCATCTACTCACAGGCAAACTAGAGGGACACACAAAATTATGCCATTCTTCTTAACATACTTTCTTTTCCTTTTTTAAACGTCTATTAACAAGCTGAGATAACTTTCACATACATTTCATCAATATTTGTTATCAATAGGATCTATCGAAACTAGATTTACAACCCACGACCCAAAGACCATCTGATTTATGAGCAAAGATGATGCACAGAAACCGAACTCAAGAAACCCAAATGTACATGAAGGGAAGCCATGGGTAAAATTGAAAACTACATTCTTATGTTCATATATTTTCATAATAATTATACATATAATTAACAGTTTTCCCTGAATTAATAAGTTATTCACTGAGTGTAAATCCGTCTGCTACTTCATGAATGATATCACTGGCAATCCTGCAAAATTGTATTTTAGCTATATTTGTCTGCATCGATGTTTGTTGAAGACGTTTGGGGAATAATTGCTTGGCAACATGCAGGTTTTGTTCATTTCAAACATGCTCCAAATAACTTTCGACTAGCAACACATGAGAAGGTAACTGTGCGGTTACCAAAGATGAGAAATGCAACCGTTATGTGAGTAAAATTACAGAATGCAACCGTGCTTCCTTTACTGAACGAAAAAAAAAACAAAGCACTGTATCTCCTTGACCTTACTCATCTGAAGTATTGAGAAAAAAAAGTAGATTTCGACATTGTTGTTAAAAAAAGGGGCATTTATGGGATCATCAAGTATCATCAGTCAGAATTACTGAATTCATATTCTAAAGAAAACAATGGGAACATGAATGGATACTGTATTGCTAGCCGTATGTCCTTAGATGTCAATTGATTGTTCTGTTTCATCGATATCTAGGTAGGAAATACGGTATAAATATATCTGGTCAGTTTCCGGAGGTCAGACACAAGTGATTTAACTCAGCATGATGCTTCTACTGAACGCAGTGACAAAGACGGCCAGCACAATAAACCTTTCTTCAACTCTCAATCAATTCCAGCAGACGTTTTGAAAAATTTTTTTTTCGTGTAGGCTCTAGCAGAAGCAAATACATAAATCTCGGTGAGAGCACCATGTGTCAGCCCACAGGCTTCTCTCAATGCATTCCCTTCTATCTCTTCATCTTATTTCCTCTTTCACTTGTACTTCTCTCCTACAGAATTGCAATTCATGTATCAAAAGAACAGGGACGATTGAGACGCAGCACTTATCGCCTAATTTTCCTTGAATAATGATAAGTTACTCCCATTAGAAAAGAAATATTACTGTGCCAACAAACACGCGCAAAACACAATGAAACTTACCAGGGCTCAACCACATTATCCTTTTCACAACGTAATACCCAATCGGCTTTGATTATGTTGAACTTATTCTTTTTCTTTGACATCGTTACCACCATGTGATTTTCCGAAGGCGCGACGAGTAACAGAGTATCATCATCTATGAGAACATTGGATGAACATTCGATTATGGCACTAACTTGCGTTTGCAACTATGTTCGCACCAAAACCTTCTAATATTTCACAACACTTTGTGCGAAGGTTACTATCAAAGCTTTGAAGCACGCATATGCACACATCTTTCAGAGGAGATTGTACAGCGGGTCCATCAAGACTACTTTTCTTTGCCGGAAACAAGCCTCAAAAATAGTTATAAACTATAAAACAGAGAAAATTTCTCCAACTCTGCTCAAATACAGATTTTTTCGTAATTCTTTTCCGTGTTATACTTGCTCCTGTTTCTTTGTTAGGTTTAGAGGCGTTCTGAAAATCAGAAAACTGTCAAACGATGTCATGTGAACAAAAACCTTGGCTGGATCATATTTTCTGATAACACGATATTCATCAATATCTTCTCTGCATATTTCTTTATCTGTCCGTATCCTTCTAATAACAGAATCAACCAGATGACCATTGCGAACACCGTATGCAGTAACCTCCACTATCTTAACATCAAACTCCAGTTATAAAAATAATTTCAAACTACGAACCAGCCAATCACTTGATCGGAAATACTCATAAGTAGAATCTGATGTCCAACCAATCAAACACTCTGGAGGTTCTTTCAGTAACGGACCTGATTTCCGAACTATTAATCAAATATTTATGGGAATAGTCATAATCTGTCTCTCAAACCATCTTGTAGTACTTTCTTTCTATCCATATCCGACAATCCTGTGAACGTTTTACAAATCACATGCAAATTCTTGCCAGTGTAGCTTGTTTCTGAGTAAGTACTGAGAATTTTTGAAACCAAAATACACAAACCATCCCAAGCTGCCAGTAAGAATGACATTCCTCTCTCATCTTTAGGTGGACAAATACCAACCATTACCAGATCCATGTCAAATCTATCTTTTAATTTGAACCAGCCATTCCTTTTGTTACTACAATTCATTTTGTAATAACTTCTAGTACTAATGGTATACCGTTTGCCAATGGCATAAAGCGAATCTTTCCGTTTGATTGCGATTCCTTCTTCCCTCTTCTCCATTGCTTCGGTGAAAAACTGTTTGATGTCTTCACTTAAACATCCCTCGAACTAAGTTTTACAAGTAAAAAAAACTACGCTGTGCTTCCTTCTGCTCTGGGTGCCAGGAATATGCGATCATTTTTACCCTTGTTGTCTTTCAACAGCCTGGCATTCATAATTTCAACGCGATCCATAAGTGGAGTGATGGTGAGATCATCCTTATGCTCACATCCGTTGATGGTAGCGCCAATGTAAAGTAAGTCGAACACAACCACGACTACAAAAATAATCAGAAATTGGAAAATGAAAGCTCAGTGTGCACAGACACTGCTCGGGATTTCAAAAAAAGACGCTTAATTTGCTTGCGTCGACTTGAAATTAGCATATTTGACAGGAGGGATTTGATTTTCGGAGAACTGTTCGAACCTTGAGTATTTTTAATATTTGTAAAACACCTTAGTACTCACCTATTCGATGGCCAGGCTGAGGGTTACTATAGTTCAGAACAATTCCATCACTTGCATGATCTAAGTGACGAACTAAACATTTCTGTCTCTCTTGGAAATTGGAAAAATACATACTCAGCTTTCCAGTTGCTTCGTCATAATGCATCAACTCACAATCCAGTATGCATTGCTTCAGTGTTGGTTTGAAGAAGGAATGAATAGCTGCAGCTAGTTTTTCATTTTTATTTGACCCATAGTTCTGAATTAAGATTATCTTACGAGGATTCACGTTGACTCGTTACCATTGTGAAATCTTTTCCATTTCGTGTAAACCATTTATAGTCATCCCCATTTTTATGTAAGATCACATGTTCCCCATCAAACTTAGTTTCCAAATAAAAGCCACCATGCAAGTTCCTCATCTGCTTTTGTAGGTGATGAAGAATTGCTTTCAGAATTTCATACTTGATCCTCAACTTCACCAATTGTTAGTCGAGCTAATAACATAGGACTAAAGTTACAACCAAGATAAAAATCGGGCTCCTTAAGTTGCATATATGACAAGTTTCCAATGCAAACTTTACTCGTTCTTCATTATCCTCGAACTTATTCATGAGTACCGATCTCAGATCCCTTCTCATATGCCATGCTGTATTCGCATTTGGGGATAAATGGGATAGAAACATGGTTCGAGTATATCCAGCATATTTCTAAACATGTGTTCATTTTAGATTGTTCGTATCTCGATACCTCGATGTTCCTAATCATTATATTGAGAAACCATACTAGCTCCCCTTCACTCAAGTTTTGTATAAGCCCGAATAACTCCTTTTCTCCTTATTAGATTTTCATTGAGGTTTTCATAATTATTTTGCAACATACTGTCTGCTCCTTTCAATTTACTTATCTTACTTAATCCCTCATAGATTTGATCCAACGTCAAATTCAAACATTTCAATGTGAATCTCTTAATGATTTCCCTAGCCAATAGCTCTGTTACTTCGTTTGCATTCTGAACTCTGTAAATGGAGAGAAGTTGTTTTCAAAGCACGAACCGTTGATGTAACAGATCTCAATTCTCGGATATCGAATGTTTTTAAAATCAAATCCGTTAACTTTTTCTGAATAAGATGATTTTTTTGTTTCAATAGACACTACCCACTGGTCCTAAATCCAATTTGAGAGTATCATTGGAATCAGGCAAAAACAAGAGAATGATTGGTTCTAGTTGTTTTAGAAAAACGGCTTCATCTTCGAACTGATTCCTACTGTTTTCGTAAAACTGTTTAATGATATCGCCCTTGCTGTTCATTGTATCCGCATTTTTCAGTTCTATCAAGACATCACAAAACTTCGAGAACGTTAAGATTTTTGTAATACTTGCAGTCATTCTAAAAGATAGAATATAAATAAACGTTGCGAAAAATCGTCCTCAAGAGATTCAAGCTCATAAGAAGTTCCTAAACATTCAAGTTTTAGTCACTGTTTCATTCAAATTCTTGATAAGAAAATGTGGACCAATGCGAATTCGTCGTATAAAACCGGCGTGTTTCGAATAAGTGAATGAAAGTGTTTACCGCGACAGAGATGCAGAGAGCACAGGCGGAGCGAGCTGGTCGAGGTTATGTTTTCAATGTTTCATTATTAATTATGTTAAATATCATTAAATTTATGTACAAACTATTGGAATAATATAAGTAAGTCGTGGTTCAAGTTGTAGATTACTTTTTTTTCTTTTTTGTTCTTATTTCTATTGACAAAAGCTCATTTCTTTATTCCGTTTTGCTGCTTCACACTATCAAATTGAACTAAAAATTGTTTTAAGGTATGGCTTCTAAGGTCGAAGTGCCCCTTACCACATGGGAACGTCTCCAGAAGTACCAGGTACTTTCGCAATGTTATTGTTTAAAAACTAACTATTTAATTAGGACACCTTCTCTGCTGCTCTTCGTCATCCTGATGCTCCTGAATGGTACAGCAAGGAACACAATGAGAAGCTGAAGAAGGACCTTCTCTGGGGTGCTCCATACGATGCTCGCTTCCCACAGGTAATCATTCTTAAATATTTATTATCATTAACTTTTCAAAAAACAGATCCGTAAGCAGAGACAATGCTTCGCCTACTATGTTGATTTCCATCGTTGTAACGAGCTTATGGGACAAGACTATAAGCCATGCAAGTTTTTCCAGAACGTTTACAAGGTTTGATCTTTTGGTTATGCTGTGATTAATCTCGAACTCAGGACTTCTGCCCCAACTTCTGGATCGAGAAATGGGATGAGCTCCTCGCTGAAGGACGTTTCCCAGCCAAGTTCGACCGCTAAAAATGTGTTACCATGTAGCAATTAGTGTATGATCGATAAAGAGTGTAATGTATTCTTCTTCCTGTGCTTGAATCGGTTATTAACCCGAATATTACTAAAAATTAAATGTTTATAGTTTGTTAATTTTCGAATTAGGCCATGTCGGCCTCCACGAGGGTTAGTGATGAAGAACTTCAAAGGAGAGAGAGATATCTCCGTGCTGGAAAGCGTGAGAGACAAATTATGGATCCATTCACCTGGTCCTATCCAGCTAAAGTAGTTCTAATTATTTCCGCGATCCTTCCTATTCCCAAGCTTTAGGGTGCTGGAGTGATGTTGGGAGTTTCTTTGATTTCTTGCCAACTTCATAACTTATGGAACAAGAAGCCGTATTACTATGGTTTGATATTTCTCCGAATATTTTCTAAACTGAATATTTTGAGCTTTGTTCCCTCGCTTGGTTCTTATTTCCGCCGTGACTGCCTTAGGTTATGGTATGGGAGCCTTGAGACAAAGACACTACCAAACACGAGATGCTGTAATTGAACATTACATGAAGCTTCATCCTGAAGATTTTGACCATTTTAAAGACAGTGAGTTGCTGTGTGGTTCTTCTTAGTAAGCTAGGTATTCGTTTAGAAAGTGGACGTCCATTCTCACAGGTTTTGCTTCCTTGGTATCCTCGTCGTACAGAATACACTAGATATGACTAGGAATTATATCGTTATTTTAGTTACAGAAATGTATTTAAGATTAAAATTTTTGTAAATAAAGTAGCGCTTTTGTATATGCCACAGATCATCTGTTTCTAACAGAATAATACTTGTTTTCTTGCTTAACTTACTCATACAAACATATATTTATAGATGGACCCCCTTGTTGTAGATAGTCATATTGATTTGGATAGTATGGAAAAGAAGAAAGCCAAGTTGATGGCCAGGCTTCAACAGAGAAACAGCAGTGCTACTTTGAAAAGTAACAAAGCTAGTAAGTGTTTGATACTTGACAATTTCATTAAATTCTGATTAAGTGACTCAAAAACAATGTAGAGAGTTTGAACTGGACAAATTGATAGACTTGGGGAAGCAACAGGCAGAGCAAGGCATAATCGATAAGCAAACGATTTCAAGCCTAGGTAGGCCAACCAATAGAATATTTTATTGATATTTCTTCTACAGAAGAAGCTCTTTCTCTTGAGTGCGGTGTTCACACAACAAGAAGGATACAAATGGTATTAGAAAGTTTGAGAAAAGCGTGTATTGCAAAAGAAAAGCTGCCCAATTTGGGTGACTTTAGTTTTGTGGTTGGTCATCTCTTTTCGTTAGCTAATAAGTTCGCGAATTTCAGAAGCGATCACCGAAACGCTTAAGTTCAAAGCCAGTTCTTGATGAGCTTACAATGAATAACAATAACGTTTCGAAAGAAACAAACCTAGAGTTAAGAACAGCCAAGAACGAGAATATTATTGACATATCCAATATGGTTAGAGATTCTTTTGTGAACTAGTTATCAATGGATATCATTTAGACTGGGAAAACATCAAGCATAAAGGGGGATAATGGTTCTAGTTTAGATTTAAAAAACTTACGGGATTGTACTCTGAAGTTTCTCTTCAAGCCTTCAGCTGTACATATGCATGTAAGTGCCTCATGAATCAGTCACAACTAAATATTCATATCTTTTCAGAATATTGAGAATTGTACTTTAATTTTCCTTCCAATCGACACATCCATACTCATGTATAATGTCACGAAGTATGTATACCAACGTTATCCTTAACAATATCAAAATTTTAGTTGTACTGTTCATGCTTGTGCACAACAGATTCGAGTTCATGATTCGATTCATATAAACTTCCATATCGGTGTCGTTGGAGCTATAATATTCGAAGAGTGTAAGGACATGCGCCTAGCTCCATATAGGTAACCATTTGTTTTTCATTTCTATCTCATCTTCGAGCCTTGAAGAGTTTTGCAAAATGGTCAACAAGTTTTACCACCCAGTGGTGATCAATGGAAACGTCCCAGTGATTTCGACTGGCTTGCAGAAGGACAGAGTCCAAATTGGCGTATTTTACCAGAAGCTGACTGGGGCAGCATGATTAACATTTAACGTTTTTATAAAATATACAACAGAAAAATGCGTTCTTTGGATTATTGGACTTGTTGCTTGCTTGTTAGGTTTGTGGTTGCACGGTGATTTGTTGATCTCTAGCTTATTTTTTATTATACGCGTTGTGATCCCTTCTTGTTTCTTATGCAGATAAAATATTTTTTACATTCTCACTCAGTTCATTCATTTTGTGCCTAGTTGCACGCTAGTTCGTAGAACATAACATGTATTGGATCACGTACAGCGTTATGCATTTCAACCCAACCTGATAAGTTAGCTGTTACTGGTTTTAGCTAGAAATCATTCCTCCTAATTTTAGTTTGTTAGCGGTCGTCTTCGCGAGCTTCGCATGAAATCATTTTTCATTTCCTTATCGATAGTTAGCGGTCGGGTTGACTAGATGCTGCGTCCGCTGATATAATTATCGTATTCTTTTTGCATGCTCTTCATTTCCTAGTATTGACTAAGTAGAGATATTTTTGTCAGCAAGGCTTCATAATAACAATCTTTTAAAAATCTAAAAACAAAATCTAATCTTCTGCCGTACTGAGAGCGTCAGCTATTTCTGATTTTCCTATCCTATTCAATAATTGAACAACATCAGAGACCTAAATTTAAGATATGTTGAAAAGAACTTTCTTCGTAACTTACGAAAGCTTTGGACATTTTCAACTGCATTCCACGGTTTCTCTCTTCTGTGAAGTTGCTGAATTCAATCCAGAGGTCTACCAACCGTTCAACTACCTCACAGTAAGCATCTCGTTGTGAAACGGATAAGCTCTGTAAACTATAATGAGTCTTGAACGAATGAGAAAACTTACATGGAATGGAACGTCCAATAGTCTCTCACGGAATACAGCAGCAGTTTTATAATCTAAAAGAAGTCTTGCAGCTATTCCGTCTTCTATTACGCGAAGTAGTAGAGGGATATGTGGCGTGGTCTAAAGCTCACATCAGAGATTTAACTTCATTGAGGACGCACCTTCAACTTTCCACATATTTGTAAAGTCAATTGTTTTCCAGCACCTACAGTTCTTGGAACAAGTGACAAGTACTTTTTGTGAACATCCTCGATGGATCCTGTAGCTTCGACAAAAAGCATCAAATAACGATTATAAAAACTGAAGAATAAAATTATAAAATAAAGCAGAGTTGATCTTACGTAGATTCAATTGTGAAAGCCGGCATCTTAACCATATTCTTCGGTGATTCATATAGTGCTACAATACGCTCAGCTAAGCCCAAATTTACTCCTCTTAAATAGAAATTTCACAAACTGAATTATCTTAATAAACACCTAGTTGCGATACCCATAGCATTAGAGAAGAACAAATTGTCTTGGGCAGATTGTAACTCAATGGCTTCAGATGATTCCAAAGCTTGAATTATTTCGGAAACCCACGTAATTGCCAATTTCTTAAGAGTTGTTTTTATAATATAAACAACGATCGTACTTACCAACTGGTTATCACGAGCTTCATTAGCTTTAGTATTCTTGGGATCTTCAACAACTACATCGATCAAGTTTTTGATTATTATATCGAAGGATTGTAGGGATGGCTTCTGACCAAGGTGTGACAATTCCCCAATGATTTGTTTGAAAGTTTTTGACCTTAATTGAGAGTCTTCAATCTGAAAAACATTCGAATGTATGGAACAGACAAAGCTGCTCGAATGACCTTCGCTGCCGATTTCAAAAGAGCATTCCAAGTGTTCAAACGTGGTTGCAGTTTGTTAGCTCTAACTTGTTGGAGAATAGTTTTAGCTTCCTCGAAGTTCGAAACTGAGATAACTGCTTCGAAAGCATCAATTTGCAACGTTTTTCCATGCTCCTAAGAACAACTGTTTAACACTTTCAAGTAAATCAAGATACTTTCAGAAGATCTTTGGCTCTCCTCACGCCCATTAGAGTAGGATGCTTGCACAATCCTGCTATTAAAACACTAACTGTTTCTGGGGAAATAGGAATGTTCTCGAAAAGAAGTTCGGCTGGACTTGACTGAAAGAAAGAAAAACCATTGTATACGAACATAGTGAGGTTACCTCAATCCAAGTTGAAGCATCAACTTCTCCGAATATTCTGAGACCTGGCCATTCCTCACATTCAGTGAAAGGAGGGTTTTTACAGTTGTAGTAACAGGCCAATTTGAAGAGTTCTAACTTGGCTGAATCAGAAATCTTAACGTTCCCGGATCTGATTCTTTCATACAAGCGAATGCTATCTTCAACTTGTTTATTGGAGATCATAGATAAGAGATTAGCTTCTGTAGGTTCAACCTGATACACAATTGAATTAATGAGTCCGAAGCTATACTAACCTGTAGAGGATCAGGTTGGTGTTGAGGTCTGAATGCGGGTAATCGTGGTTGATCACGGTCGAAGGCTACAAGCGTAGGCCATTCTTTAGCTAAAAGCTGAGCAGCTCTCTTTCCCATCTCCTTCAAGATTTTAAGTTACAACAAATACTGATTCTTTGTCGGAGCTCACTTTAGCCAGAAAATAGTTTTGCTTTTGCATAGCTGTAGTTGGGATGGTTGTTGGATCATCGATGAAAGCGAAATGGGGAGCGGTTGTATCAACTCCAACAGTATCAGAAAGAGCTTTCAGCAAATCTGTTGGTCCTCTCTAGAAGTATAAAATAAATACTGATGTTGGACCAGAAAATTACCTTGATGGCAGGAGGAATAGTAACCCTTGAGCTTTTCGGTGCTGTATGATCCTGAGCTAACTCAGTAGAGAAGTAGCGGACGGGATTCGCACGAATTCTACATCCTCTTAAGGTAATCATCCCTGAAAAAAAAAGAGTGAACTATCAAAGTAGCCCGGAGGAAAGATAACATGTTGCATTCATACACAGAAGTAGCTTAGATGTAAATGAACCAAGCACAGAAATTGTAGTGGAGCAGGTTTTAGCAACGTAGCACAATAACTGTGTCAATACTATGTCTAAGCTGGAATTGTGAGCTATACCCTAGTTTTTCCTCATGTTTTATTGTTTCATTCACCCAATGTGATTGTTACGAAAAATTTTATTTTTATTAAACGTTTTGCATTCTAGGTTTTGGAGTTTTTTGTTTTTCTTTGTGTTTTCCAAAGGAAGCTCTCTCTTGAGCGCACACACAACAAGAAAAGATACAATTGGTACTAGGGAGTTTAAGAAAAGCATGTATTGTCAGATAAAAGCTGATCATAAGTGGATCTATCGTTGCATGAAATGTATTTTAGGAATCTGGAGAACCCTGAAAAAGAGTAATGAAAGAAATATTTTCTCAATTATGCCTTCAGAACTGAGAAGGAGTTGTTCAGAGACTGTAAAAGTTATTTACAAATTCTGGCATCAGAATAAATACTCAAGAGTATATTATTTGAGAAATATTGAAAACACTCGAGCGTCTTGAACTTAAAAATTTGGAAGTAGCCTTAAAATGTCTGCTTTGCTATGTGATTGTCGCCCTATAGTTCATATTGATAATACCCATAGACGGAAGTAAAAAATCGTTCCTTCTGGCTGTTTCATTACTTGACCTTTCGTTACAAGCTAATAATCTGAACTATATCTACGGCTTTACATGTCTTTAATATATAGCTAATCGGACAAGACTACTGGTTGTTTTTCATCCTCAAAATTGCGTTAGTCGGGAAAAACTTTCATGATAGGAAGAAACATCCCAATTCTATTACACAAGGAAATTTTATTATAAAATTTATATTGTGTTAATAAAGAACAATCAATTTACAAATATAATTTTCGAATATCGAAATGTAAGGCGACTTTGAAAGTTACAGAAATGAAATAGAAACTGGCTAATAAATAATGAAAAACCCGCATTGAATTGGAAAAAATAATAGAAAAAAGAAGTTCCAAAAGTAAACGTCATCACTTCCGTATTTAGGCTATTCCTGAGTTGCAATAGTAGCAGTGATGTCCATGGATAACTGCTTGGTAATTGTGTGTTGCGGCAAGGAAGATCGGCGCTGATATCTAACTCTTTGATAATAACCGTCACGAACTGAAGAGAAAAGTGCTCCAATTAATTGAGACCATGCTAACAGTGTGTCACATCTGAAGGGAAAAAGTAAATTGAGTTGATCGTTTTGGACTTCTACCTTTTATGGACACCTCCATCTAATTTTACGCATTCTGCTATAGCAGCATCGGCTAAATGGGAAAAGAAATCTGGTCGGAAACCAAATGGACAAAGATCTGCATAAGTCGATCCAAACTCTTTAGCATGCTGTAGCACCTGAAATCATGGAATTATAGCAACCATTCTGTGCGATCCACCCATTTCCACATACCTCATCTGCTTTATCGATGTTTGTTACCGAATCGTCTATTAAATCAAACATTTGACGTGCCATTAAACCAAACTGTTCGTCATTAAGACGTGAAAAAAGAGCACGCAATTCCGCTCTTGAACTAGCCGCCCGCTTCAAAATGGCTTCACCAATAACAGGTCTGAAAATAACAAATAAATAAAAATTTTCTCAAGCCATATTTTAATGTTCTGTGATCATCATCTAGCTAACTACAAAATCATTAAGAGGATGCGTGCTTAAGAATTTTAGGCAAGCCTTGCCCTCAGGCAATGCAACTACCCACGATTTTTGGCAAGTCATAAACAAATGTCATGTGAAGAGTTGGGCGCCCGCAACCAGAACTAAAACGAGAAGGATGATGACAGCAAGTATAAGAATGATGATGATGATGAGAAGGAAGAAGATGAAAAGTAAAAAGGCGCGAATAAGAACATTTCGGATAAGAGGTGCAAGTAGGCATTAGATATGAAACCTAGCGAATCATAGATCAACCATAGAAATCAACCCACTTTGCCATTTTATAACATTGTTGAATGCGCATCCGATTTAGAGATGGCACAAGACCATTCGATGTCTTACGTCCATTTTCTTTCTTAGGTGCTGGGGCTGGAGAAGGGCATGCAGACATAGTCTGAAGAAAATAATAATCTTTAATGCTTGAAATGCTCTTTAGTTAATGACATAAGAACATAGGGTTCATCGATGAACTTCCATATTCTTCTTACCCACCTGTGTATCTTTTTCCATTTGAACAGCGCATAAACTACGACTTCGTTGTCGTTCAGAAACAGGAGCAGCCAGAAGCATGTCAGACCTCGGTGAGGCAGCAACTACCATTAAATCTGAAAATGTTGAAGTTGTGAAAACAAAAAAAAAATGCACGCCGGAAGTTCAGTAAAAACAAAAGAAATATATCAACCTGCTGATGAGTTTCTGTTTAAGGTAGCTGTTGGCTGAGTAGTACCATTAGGTTTTGCAGATTTGTTTTCTATTCCAGCATTATATCTGGTATTATTAATTGCTCTCTTAGATCGTTTACGATAGATGGGCTCTATATTGACACTGAAACAGAGAAAAAAGAATTTTGATGAATTTATGTATGTATTTTGTCAAAAACAATTACTCATGTTTTCTTTCGTCTTAGTTTCACAGAAAAAAAATGAAAGAAACAAGCGAATATTATTTGTGAATTCGTTTTCCATCTTGTCATTGCCCAAGGCTCACCTTTTTTTTCTTCAATTTTACTTCAATCACGAAGAAGGAGAAAACAAAAAAGGGGATGGACCCTGTCTATATTCATTCTTTCCAACGAATATCAATTTAGCTTTTTTTGAAATTTCACTGCTTATCTGATTTATTCATCCACCCGCACTCTAATTAAAGAAGCAAATGAATTTGATTAAAATCACTCCCTCTTTCTTATACTATTTTGCTATCTTTACCTCCCTCTCAATGCTCTCAATGTCCTAATCATTGTGCTAACGAAAAATTGCAAAAACCTTTGAAAGCTCGGAGCTGCCTTCAAAAACTAAGATATAATTAATAAAAAAGAAAAACAGAACAAACGTAACAGAAGAACAACTTACTTTTCTCCTTCAACTATAATTGGATGATTTTTTTCTTTGTGTGTTTTTCGGATTTTTACCAGAGACGAAGATTCGTTTCCCATTTGCAGCTAATCTTCTATAAATCAAATATTATAAAGGATAGTTGGCTGGCTCCACTATACTATTGAATTCATGGAAAATATGAACGATTAAAAAAAAACGACAAGTTTGGGGAAAACTATCAAAAGGCTGGGATTATGATGAATAGAACAAACGCGAAGAGACATGTATGAAGTGAGTGGGGGAGTCCTAAGCATCTTACTCTTCCCACCCTACCTAATCATGTTAAAAGACATCATCTCATTCTAAAAATATTTCAAGAAGATCATATTAATAGAACAAGGAGTACACTAATCAACTATTAAAATAATTATAAAAAGCTTTTTGAGTAATGAACTTCTATAAATCTTTTCAACACCCCCATTATGCGGCTTTCAAAGTAAACTCCCATCCTTCTCTCTCTTATTTCCTTTTATGGAGGACGGGATATAAGCTAACGAGATATTACTGGCTAACGATCATCATATAAAGTTATATTTAAGATAATCTTTTGTTTGAACAATGTTTTTCCGTGTGAAAGCTATTTTCTTCTATATGAACTTACTCACACAATTCAATAAGTTAGAAGGCTGGGCAATTGCACAAAAAAGCTAAACTATGGAAACTATAGTGAAAGTAAGAAGAAATGGGCGAATGGCCAAGATGATTCGAATGTCGTTTCGATTATCAAAAGAAAAACCTTTTTTCCTCTATCTTTGAAGAGAAAAAACGTTTAAAACGAATGAGAATGAGCTTAGCTATTTATTTGAAAAATGAAAATGAAGCTATGAAGTAATAAAGAAGGAAAAAGCGATAAGCAATTATAATTTCCAATACTCACACACACCCAAAGACATAAGATGAAGGAAGACGGAACGAAGTAAAACCAATATTTGGAGTTTGGAAGAGTTTGGTAAAAAAGGTTTTTGAAATAACCAAAATATTCTCGTTCAAGATATAAAATAGAAACTCGACATTGAGAAATGATGAAAGTGCTTCAGAAAATAGAAGAGACTAGAAAGAGGCAATTTCGAGGCTTTTTCAGGTAGAAAAGCGTGAATTAAATGGAATTCCAGCGAAATTCTGACAAAAACATCTTTACACCATCTTAACACTACACATATGAGCGATTAGTTGAAGCAGAGGCTCAAGCACGAAAAGCAGCGAAAGTTGAAGAGAACGGCGACGTTGCCGTCTACGACAAAGAAAAAGATGACAACATATGAAAGGGAAGAAAAGAATTGAATTGAAAACCCATCAACTCACGGCACTATCATCACTATTCGAGCTTTAAAAGAACACAAAAACTATCATAATGGCGGTATAAAATTGAAGTCAAAAACGGCAACTGGTGAGAGCTTCGAAACACATTTTTTTCAACTTGCAACGAGATTAAGCTATTCGAGAACAAAGCCGATAAATGAGACAAGCTCAGCGCTCTTTTAATGGCTGACCTCGCTAAGGGCCGGAGGCAGAAGCCTTGCATATTGTCCAAATAGAGCTTCCGCAAAGTACGAAAACTTGATCTGATCCGTGCAAACTGAGTATTGAATCAAAATTCAGCTGACTTACCAGCAGCTCAGTATCGCCTGACTCCCTTCTCGTCATTCACGTCCAAAAATAGAGAGGCCATGTTAACCCCATTGGAATTCAGCAGTCACAGGGGGCTGTGTGTGGTACATATACACACGCCAAAAGAAATAGAATACGTGGTATACAAGCAAGAAAGAAGAAAAAGAAGATGAAGAGAAATGTTGTGAAGTTCGGAAGAGACTGACGACAACGCCAACGAACATGATGTGGAGTCTCAGCTTCCTCATCTGTCAAAAGCAAAATCAAAATGATAATTGTTGCTGTCGTCATGATCAGAAACTTCTCAATGAAAAGCAAACATTTCCCATTAACGAACCCAGGATGAAGGTCAACGATCAGTGAGGGAGGAGAAGTTGGACAAAACGCAGTTAAACTTCAAAGATAACAACATGCCTATTATAGAATACAAGGGCAGATAGAAGTAAAAACGGCTGCAAAATATCTCAGTTATGACAACTTATGGAAGAAAAACGATGAGATTGCATTCCAAGAGAATTGGAAGATAGAGACAGGAAACGATGTATTCAGATAGTCGTCTCGAGCCAGACTGATTCGGGAGGTGAAAGCAGCTTCGATGAAATTTAGAAAACGATGAGAAAAGGAAACTGAGAGAAAGGGTAAAAAGCTGAGGCAGTAGGACAACCTAAGAGGGAAAAGCTGGCGTCGCGAAGACAAAGCTGAATGGACATAGATCAGAAGATTCAGAAACCGACGAGACCACAATAAAGAGAAGCTGCGTTCTGCGTCGTCTTCGTCGATAACAATTTCTAACGGAATTGGAGGCAGAACAATCGTATGAACACGTTGATATACTATTTCAAAGCGAGTTGACTTGAAATTGGATTTGTGCTCAGATATGTACTTTTGCCTATAACCCCGGATCTTTATGTCCAGGAAAAAAGTCCAAAAATCACTAATGTTTTTGTCGTCTAAATATATGAATCCTGAACGATCCCTTGAAGCTGTTATTGATGCTAAAAACAGCATAATTTGAATATTTTTGGACTCTGTTCAAACATTGTAAATTTGAAAAATGAGAGTTAAATATATCCGTAAGCCTTAAAAGAGAAAAAGCAAACGATCTTCCCTCCTTGACAGAAAAAAATATTTTCTCTCTTCCTCCTTATGCTAACCAAATAGATATTTAAGGCTACATGTCATCGTACAGATGAACTGAGCACGGCTATTACTCAAAAAAACATATCATCTACTCGCTCAGCTTAGAAAGGAACAAAATTATAGGAAATGATCAGATGGACTACGAACTACTAAGATGCTATAGTTTCTTCTCACAGCTATACAATATTGACATGACATTCTGCTGAAAACCAAAGCTGATTCAGACAAATTAGACTTGGGCCGTATAGCCTAATTACATTCTGAGATAAATTCGAAAGAGATCAGAAAATTAGAGAGAAGCAATGGCGAATGACCTGATAGTTTGAAAAATTTGTTGATGGCTAAGGATCTTAGATGTTAAAGTTGCAGTCGTGTCTATCACTAACTGCCAAAAATGGCGCGAAGGCAATTAAACTGAAGCTCATTCTTGCTTTTCGAACATATAGTAAAGACAGAAATCGGAGTTGACAATATGAACAAACAAAGATTAAGCAAATGCACGATAGTAGCCTTTAAAGGAAGTAAGTGGAAGGGAAAGGTTCAAAGAGGAGAAGACACGATCCCGATTCATCAATCATGTGGTTGAAACATGTAAACATTAAAAGCAATGTCTTTGACTTATTTTTTTCTTCTTAATTTTTGAGAATTTAAAGAGTCTAAAGATGAAATTTTGAGAAGCATGCCAGTCAGTGTGAAAATAGCAGAACAGGGCACGAACACCATGTGACAGAAATGTCTATCACAGCTTCACAACTTACGAAAAACAATGTACAAAAGTAATTGTTATTAAAGGAAATGGACCGATTCTAATGGGAATCCGGCAAAAAAGATTAAAAAAATGGAAGAAAACGAATCTTGAATTGCAAGTGCGAAATATAAGACGGAAGAACAAGAAGCGGCCAAAAGACGAATCCTTTCATCCCCTCCAATTAAAGGATGTCTCACATTTCTCGTCTTCCAATGTATAAATTATTCAAGAACAATGTTGGAGATATATTAATATGTGAAATTAGAAAAAATAGTTCCCCTTTCTCTTATTCCCTATCTCTTCTAAGCTGATTACAGAGACTAAACCCATGATCAATAGGAATCTCTAGAGCAAGCCCAGGCTTCCAGAACAAGTTTCAGACAACAGTTATCTGTCGTAACAGAGCATTAACACTCACTGAACAGGTAAGCCATATGATAATGATTAACAGCTTCAAGTACATCAGTTTGAGCTGCATTTTCTCAGCTAAAATACATACAAAATGAGATATGTGATGAAACCTGATCTTAATTCGAACTCAATACAGGAAACTCACTCAAACTCAAGGCGTTTAAAATGTTTTCAAGATTTCGAGAGAACATTAGAAAAGTTGAAATATAAAAGCCGAGTTCGTTAGACTTCCATACAAACCATCTTCCGTCCCAACGACCATCTTGTCCACACACATATTCTCTCTTTCAATAAAAATTGAAAGCACTAAGCAGTCATATTTAGAGTTTCGAGAAAAAAAAAAGAAAAGCTGTTGTAATTGCAAATATAAAAAGATCAATGTGAGATATGAGAACGGCCAATTATCAAAAATGTCTAAGTATATCAGACAAAACAGCAGAGGCTTATTCAAAAATAAAATATCATCTCGAAGCACTGAGACAACTTTCCCTTCGCAGCCAATGACAACGAAAAATCTTTTAAGTCGTCAATATAAACAGCGTTTTTTAACTGTATTCTTTGGCTATTTCATCAGTTCTATTTCCCACGGGACAGATGTTTGACTACTAAACTTACTCACGAGCGGAAAAGAGAAGAAGGAAGCGTATGAGGTACTCTAATACATAATTTTGAAAGGGACCTTACTAGATTAAGCCTTCTCCGTCATCTTCGACCTGGTTCCGAATCTCTTTGGCTATCCCAGCACTCAGTTCTCGCGCAAATCTCCAAGAAACCATATTTTGCTTCACAAAACTACAACGAAGTACCTCATTGAAGCCGAATCTTCACGCTTTGGTTCGTGTTTGATGGAGTTCTTGAATCGAGCGTTCGAATCAAAAAAATGCTTCCATTTCTCCTCCATTTGCTTTGCTGCTTCAACTACTTTTTCTAAATCTTCAAATGTAAACTGAAACCAAAAAGTAATATATACCTGGGTTTCTCGCTTGTTTGATTATAAAAGACGATTTCATATCAATTTCGGGAGCAAACGAAATCCTTGTTCTTTGAATTCGCTGACGGTCCTATTGATCCGTAGATTTTTGAAGATAAAATGAAGCAAAAACCTTTAGTAGTTGTGGAGACATCAAAAATCCTGGGCTTCGACCTTGCACTTGAAGGAGAGGTTTCCTCTTCGCAGGCTTAGGAGTGAGAGTCATCCTTCTATTTTCCTCTTTTTTCATGAATTTTAAATTCTCTTTTAATTTTTGTTGGTAAACCTGAGAAATGAAACAATACAATGGTTACTCGATCATGTGTCTTACCAATGAAATTTTCTTGAACACCATAATATTATAGTTGTCAGCACAGCGGCGAATTCCTAATGACAACTAAAATAATATTAGATGACAATTTCC